TTCCCCCCTCCGCCACCGCCACCCTCCCTTTCTACGCCATGACAAGCACGGGGGGTTTGGTGATTCTCTGCTTGATCTACATGCAGCCTACATGTGTTCCCTGCGCGTCACGTCAGGTCAGAGTGAGACAAACGGATTCCCCGAGGAGCGCCGCCGTCGCCCTCGGCAGACCCCGCTGCGCGCCGCTCGCGGAAGAGCGGCAATGCGGGATCAAAAACACCCCACCGGCCCGGGCCCTTTATGCAAATATTACGGTGGAATAGTTTTCCACCTCTGGCTGCAGCGGGTTAGTGAATGACGTACGTAATCCAATAGAGTGCGACAGGCCCGTGGACCTTTATCGAATTTGCAGAACGCACCGGTCGGCCGAACGATCGTCCAATCACAGTTGTTAACTCTCTCGCGCGCTCTCTCTCTCTCTCTCTCTCTCGCTCTCTCTCCCTCTCTCTCTCGTCCCATCAGCAGCGCGGGCCTCGACAGCACCGAGCCAATCATTACGTTACACCTGCGATATTATACCACAACTGTGTTATACGAACACTGCTTTGATGCCCGTGTCAACATGTGAGTAAGATTTGTAAGCCCCTAGCAACACCTAATTGCCTTTTACATCAATTGCTTTCTACCTTTAAAGTAAATGATTTGACAAAAATAATTTATTTACAATTCACTGTCACACATGTTAATTTTCTAATTGTAAAAATTAGTCGGCATTAGTCAAATTCGTAAACTACGCAGAAAGATGATTAGCTATAGCGACCATCGTATTGGTTAACTCAAGGAGCACTATAAAATATGGTTGAGACAACAATGACAATGTGATGTAAACCATATTTTTGGTTCTCACACACAAGATAATGTTGAATCAACCATATTTTATGGTGCTCCCTGAGCCCACAATAAGATGGTTGTCATTGCTAATCTGGGTGCAATAATATTTTTAAAAAACTGCAGCGACAAATTAAAAATAAAACCTTTTTTTTTCAGTAGAATGGTAATATAACAGTTTTCAAGTAAAAAGCACAGTTACTGAAGATACGCCCGAGGCCCGGGTAACGCATGTAGGCTTCAGTCAGTCCAAAATCATCGCCGGTAGGAGCGGTTCTCACCGCGGTGGGGGGAGGAGGCTGAAGCCACACGAGTAAAGAGCTCGAGTGTTGTTTGCCGGCCCACAATCGGATCCCCTCTCATACGAACTCTTCGGGGCCCATCGAGCGAGCCTGCCGTCACCGCTCCCGCCCCGGCCGAGGCCCCCGCTCCTCCCTCCAGCGCGCCCCAGCGCATGGCGTGCCAACACAATCCGCACAGCAGCATCAGCACGGATTCTCCTGCGAAATTTTACAAAGGCAATAATTCCTGAGCTATTAGAGCCATTCGACCGGTGAGAGAGTACACGCAGAAAAGTGGGGATGAGCTCTTCTAGCAACCATCGGTTACTTAAGGGATAGCCATAATGGTTACACATTAGTAACAATCATACAAATATCATACTTGGCCAGATCATATTTAATTCTCACGACCAGTTTAATGCATTATCCATCAATGTGTGGCTGTCACTGAAGTCGATATCTGCTACAGCTTTCCATTTTTCTGGGTGTATCCCAGCTAACAACCCTGCATAGGCGACATCACGCTCCGCAACCATTCATGATGACAACAAGTACAGCCACACGCGCTCTCGTAAAGGCAGAACCCATACGTGAGCATCAGATCGTTAGCGTAAGTGTCAACAACTGCGCAGAACACGAACAAAAAATTCTAAACACTGCTACACTTGTCTTCACGAAGAGGATCAAG